CTCTTTTTGGAACTTTTCCACTTTTTTCATTTTTTTTCTCTTGCTTCTCTTGTTTCGGAAATATTTCCCTTTTCGAATTTTTTTCGAAAAAAAATCCTCTTGTACGTTTTTCTTACTGAATTTCTATTTCGAAACAAAAAATTCGCAAACATTTTCATATTTTTATTCGATCTCGTGAAATTACTTGAATCTTCTTCTCCCCTTTCTCGAATTTTTCCACCTTTTTTTGGATTTGGATTTCTTCAAGAATTAAATTATTTTCACAAATAATGAAATTTTTGGTTGAAATTAAATTATTTTCAATATTTACAATTTTATATAAAATTTCACAATAGAATTCAATTATTTAGAAAAAAATTGTGCTAACATTTTTTTTGCAAAACTTCAATTATTTTCATAACTAAAAAAATTTTTCTTAGGATTTAAATTATTTAAAATACTATTTTCTTAAAATTTTAAAAGAAAGAAATCAATTATTTTTTAAACAATTTTAATTAAATTCGATGAAAGAATTCAATTATTTACAAAATTAGTCATAAAAAATTCTTTGCAGGAATTCAATTATTTTCATAAATAATAAAGTTCTTTACAAGATTTAAATTATTTTAATCCAACTTTAATTAAATTCCTCCAAAGAATTCAATTGTATTCAAAATTTTTAAAAAGTGTTTCAAAAAAATTCAATTTTTCAAAATTTTAATTAAATTCATTGCTGAAATTCAATTATTTTTATTAATAATAAAATATCAGTTTACATTTTAGATAATTTAATATTAAAAGCGTTTTAGTTAATATTTTTATAAATAATTGAATTTCAAAAATGATTTCAATGGAAATTTTACAAAATTTTTTTAAAAAATTACTAATTTATTATTTGTCTAAAAAATTATTAAAGTTTTGAATAATTTTATTTAAAGTATAAAAAAAAATTTAATTATTCTTAATTCACAGTAAAAATTTAAATGTATTTAAATTTTGAATTCCTGTGGGAAAATAAATAACAATAAGTGTTAATAAATATTTATTTATCAAAATTTTTCAATTTTCGTCTAATTTAGAAATTATGAAAAAATTAATTTTTCGAAAAATTGTAATTAAAATTTTTTTACGAAAAATGTATAGTTAAATTGTAAATAATTTTAGAAATTAAATTAAATTAAATTAAATCTTCAATTAGTTGGAAATTTTGTCAAATTTAATTGAAAGTGATTTTTTATTTTAAAGGATTTTATTGTTTTTACTTTGAACGAAAAGAAACTCTTTTAAATGTTAATTTTAAACATAATTTCTCTTAAAGAATTATTCTAAGTAAAAAATTTGAAAAAATAATTGAATTTTATAAAAATTAGTATTAACAAAGAACAAAAAAAGTGGAAATTTTTTATGGGAATCATGGAAATACAGAATCGGATTTTTGGTGAATTTTGTGATTCGACTAAAACGAGTTTTGGTAGTTCGTCAAATTTAATTTTCCAATAGCCACTTTTTGGACTAATTCTTCTCAGTCTTAAAAGGTACTTTTTTTTGCCAGTTTCTAAAATTAATTATATCGAGTGCGAAGTCTGTCATCTTGAATAGTGAATTCCGAATTCTCACTTCTCAACAAAAATCTTTGCCAGAATATTAATAGAATTTTCAACTTTTTTTTTTTATTCGAAATTCATATAATGTTTATAGAAATTTATATATACATATTTTTTTTATCTTGAGATATTTGGCTTAATTTAGCCACTGAAGCATGTTCGCGCAGGAAACATGTCAGACTGAGTCGTGATATAAAAAGAGATTTAGTCTATCTCGAGAAAGAATCTCTCTCAATGTGTACGATATATTTTTTTTCTTTCTTTCTTTCTTTTTTTTGCAAAACCACAACGTAATACGTATACGGAATGTTTATTTAATCTAATGAACAAATTATCCTGAATGAGGGAGATAAATTGATTCGTATACGAGTTGGTTTCTTTTCTTTTTCATTTGGCCCCACCGGTAAAATGTTTGAATGAATATTATCGTCGTCATAAGTTGGCAAAATAAATGTAGGTGGGTAAATAAATTCTTTTTCAAATTCTCTCTTCTTCGTGGGGCTTAATCAGTGAAGTCATTACCGAAATTTAATTAGACGCCGCTGTGTGTTGTTTTTTGTCGAAAAGAGAAGTGGAACCATATACGATGGTAAAATTAAACTCTCGATACTGAAGTTGAAAGCAGTTAAGGCAGTCGTCGCCTTGTTGGAGTCATATCTGCGATCTCTTCGGACTCGCAGGGAGGATTTTGCGAGGAGCGGGCGTCCTTCGAGCGAAGATCCTCCTCCTCCTCCTTCTTCTCTTGAGTCTTCTCTTTTCTGCTGCTGCTGCTGTTACTGCTGCTGCTGCTTCTGCCGAAACTCTTTCGGCTCTTTACATTCCAATGAGTCTTACAAATCTCTGCTTTGTAATTAATCTATGCTTTCAAAGTAGCGAGGGAGAAAGAGAATTTTTTTTCTGATTTCGTTTAAAACGTCGCTAAATACTTTTCGAAACGTTTTTCGAATTATTTTCCCAAATATTTGGATAAATATTTTTTTTCACATTTTTGGAACAGGGTTGCCACAGGTCAGGGAAATCAGGGAAAAGTTAGGGATTTTTATTAAAAGTATACTGGAAAAAATTTAATTTTTAGAATTCATTGTAAGAAAATTCAGAATTTTTGGTGTCTTTTTTGTTTGCCTCACAAACTATAAAATTACCACTAATTCTAATACAAAACCTTCAACAATATTTTTTATTTCTGACAAAAATGAATTTTTTTATTATTATTTAATTTTTACAAAAGTTTGAACGCAATTATTTTGATAAATAACAAAATTCGTCACAGAAATTCAATAATTTTTAGGAATTTTAATAAAATTCTTTACAAAATTCAATTATATTCATAAATACCAATATTCATCCCAAGAATTAAATTATTTTCAAAAGTAATAAAATTCTTCGCAGAAATTCAATTATTTTTAAAAAATCGAAAAAAAATTATCAACATTTCAATTATTTTTATAAATGAAGAGCAAAATTCTTCGACAAAATTAAATTACTTTCAAGAATTATAATAGAATACATTGCAAAATTCAATTATTTTCATAAATAGAAAAAAAATATCAACATTCAATTATTTTCAAAAGTAATAAAATTCTTTGACAAAATTAATTTATTTTCAAAAAATCGAAAAAAAATTGTCGCCAACATTTCAATTATTTTTTATAAATAAAGAGCAAAATTCTTCGACAATATTCATCCCAAGAATTCAATTATTTTCAAAAGTAATAAAATTCTTCGCAGAAATTCAATTATTTTCAAAAAATCGAAAAAAAGTTGTCGCTAACATTTCAATTATTTTTATAAATGAAGAGCAAAATTCTTCGACAAAATTCAATTATTTTCATAAATAGAAATAAAAATTATCAACATTTCAATTATTTTTATAAATGAAGAGCAAAATTCTTCGACAAAATTAAATTATTTTCATAAATAACAATATTCATCACAAGAATTCAATTATTTTTGAAAATTAATAAAATTATTCGCAAAAATTCAATTATTCTCAAAAATTCAATTATTTTCATGAGTAACAAATTTTTTCACATGATTTCATTAATTTTCATAAATAATAAAATTCTTATTAAAAATTCAATTATTTATTTAAAATTGTATTAAAAATAATTGAAATCTTGTGAACAATTTTATTATTTATGAAAACAGTTGTATTTTTGCATCAAATTTTATTTCATTTTTTAAAAATAATTTTTGAAAATAATTTAATTATTACGTAAAATTTTAATAAAATTTTTTAATTACATTTTTCGAGCAATTTATTGAAAATTGTATTTTAAAAATAATTGAAATTCTATACAGAATTTTATTATTTATGAAAATAATTTAATTCTTGCAATGAATTTTACCTATTACATTTTTTTTTAAATAATTCAATTGTTTTGAGAAAGTTTGTTAAAATAGTAAATTCTGAAAATATTTCAATTTTAGCGAAAACTTTGATTATTTGTGAAACATGATTGAATTCTTGCAACAAATTTTATTATATTTTTTTTTAATTGATAAATTTGATTAAAATCGTATTCAAATTATTTAAAAAAATTATGAATATGAATTCTTCACAAGAAATTAATTATTTTCATAAATAATAATAATTTCCTCCGGAATTCAATTATTTTCACAAATAAAATTATTCACAGGAATTTAATTCTTTAAAAATTTTTTTTATAAAATTCGTTGCAAGAATTCAATTATTTTCATAAATAATAAAACTTATCGGAGAATTTAAATTATTTTTTGTACAATTTTACATGAAATTATAGAAAATTGCATTTATTCTTAAATTTTTTTTTAAATTCGCCGAATGAATTCAATTATTTAAAAAAATTTTTTGATAAAATTCTTCATAAAAATTCAATTTTAAGAAATATTCAATTATTTATTTTTGTATTTAAATAATTGAATTCTCGAATAATTTACTAATAAAAATTTGATTTGAAATTAATTTTTTGTTAAGATTTTAGATAATAATTGATTATTAAAAGCATTATAGTGTGAATTTTTAGAAATAATTGAATTTTGAAAAGGTTTCAAATTAAAATCTTGGAAAATTTGAATTTATCGTTACAATATTCTGATGATATAAAATAATGATTTTATCCCTCTGTCATATTCAAATTCATAAGTTATTGAATTTTAGATTTGAATTTGAAAATCTTAATTTCTATAGAGAAATAATAGATAATGATTAAACATTTATTTAAAAAAGAAATTATTCATGTTTCAACCCTGTGGAAATATTTTTACAAACATTTTCCGAAGTTTATTCAGATATTATTTTGTTTGGATTTTCGGAAAAACAATTATTTTGTAGATATTTTTCGAAATATTTTGAATATTTTCGATAATATTTTGAATATTTTGGAGAGACATTTTTTCTTCTTATCAGAAAATTAATCTTTTTTTTTCGATTTTCAGGTGCGGGGAGAAATTCCGGACAAGCGGAAAGTGAAATGGGTCAGAGTGCAGCAGTTGGTACGTTGGGAGGATTGAGCTCATCGTTGGGACCAATGCCACCGGGGCGAACTGGAGGTACAATTAGACGTGGACCGGGTCGACCGCGTTTACGACCAAATGGACCTGGACATCAAGGACATCGTGGTCCGAGTCATTCGCATACGAAAAAAATTCAAAAACCACTACCGGTTCCAATAAGATCTCATCATCTCGCGAGTATTCAACCGAAACCGTCCATTTCATCGTCACTGCCATCGCCAGTCGCATCATCCTCATCATCGACGTCGTCGTCAATTTCTTCTTCGCAAAATGCCGAATCTCGTCCCTTTGGATTCTACACACAACAAACACCACCCAGAGGATCGTAGAATTTATTCTAAATAATTTTCCCCACTCCGAAAAATTTTTCAAGGAAAAAATACAAAAAAAAAAAAAAAATGGGGTTTTTTTAATCAATTTTACAGAAATTGATGATCGAATGACATGCAAATATTTTGCTGCTGGAAAATGATCAAAAGAGATCGGATGTAAAATATTATGTACTATAGTAACTTCAAATGTAATTTGATCTGTTAGGAAATTTACTTTTTTTTTTCATCTCTTCGCCGTGCGACCGACAAAATGCTCCGTTTGTGATTTTTCCTGAATGAGATAATCGATTATACGAATGGAGCGAGTTGAACTGGTTCACATAACGAGAAATTGTAGACGTTGAGAAATATTATTTTCCCTCGTCTCTCGAATATTCTTTCGATCAATGTAAAGTAAAAAAAAAATAGATAGAAAGAAGGAAAGAATTTTTTTTTTTTCGAAAACTATATATGCACGTTGTAAATGATTGCGCTAAATTAATTCCAATATTAACAAGAGAGGATATTTATTGGCGACAAAACCATTATTATCTAGACCTCGCACTTTTTCGGGTTTTATTTACAATTAGTATAATTGAAATTAATCTCCTATTCAAATTGTTCTCGAAATAGTAATACATAATTATAATAATCATAATTAAGTGTCCGATTTGTATAGGAAAAAATGAAATTTTATTTAAGATTCATACTTCTCCGCTGAAGCTTTATTTAAACTACAAAGAAAAAAAAAGAGTTTCAAAATAATTGTATAATTTATTTCTATATATTTTCTGTAAATAAATCGTTGTGAAGTCAACTCTTGACGTTTTTTTTCTCAAATTGAAGAATATCAATTTTTTGTGAAATGAAAACATGGGTTTGAAATTTGCTGGAAATTTCGTGAGGGTAGCGAAAAAAAGAATAAGAAATTGTGATATAATGGCGTTAGGGATTTGATTTGGCAAATAGGTGGGATTTTGTTGAGTGTAGTTTTTAGAATACCTTCTGTGTTATCTTTTTCTGTTTTTTTTTTTGGGTTTCTTTTTTTTTGTTGGGAATCTCGCATCAACCCTCGTACCATTCCTATTTTTTCCCCCTTGGGTGAATCGAATGGCACTCGACGAAAAGACTAAAAGAGAGCGAGATGACCCGACGTGCCGCGGCATACTAAAGACTAAACGACTCTGAGAAGATACTTTCGAATGAAAAAAAGGATATACACATTCGCACATCGTCCGCGTTCCACTGCGACGCCTTGTTTTATAGAATCCTTGATCCCGCGCTTACATTAACGCTTAAAAGGTTGCTTTTATAGAAATTGTGCTTACCTTGGTACCCCATAAAAATGGCTTTCTTTTATTATTATATTATACACACGAAGATAATTTTTCATTTTTTTTTTCTTTTGAAAATTTAGTGGGGAAAATTTTTTTGCATCAAGAAAATGTCTCTAAATTGCAATTTCTTTTTATTTTTTTTTGGAAAAATAATTTTTTTCTTTTCAGGACAATTAATTCATAATTAATTCCTTAATTACTTAATTTGTACTTAATGAATTAATTACTTAAAATAATTAGAAACAATTTCCAGTAATTTCTATTTCACTTATTCAAATAAATTATTCCATGTTCATAATTTTTAATTTTGGACTAAAATTAAATAATTATTTAAATTTTGATTTCAATTTATTATTTTTTTATTAATATTCTTTAATTGGTATAATTTATTGGAATTCAAAAATTTTAATTAAATTCAAAAAACTATTTTTCTTGAATTTAATTAATATTCTTTAATTGATTTAATTTATTGGAATTCAAAAATTTTAATTAAATTCAAAAAACTATTTTTCTTGAGTGGTAAATTATTTTCTGAAAAATAATTTACCACTCAAGAATAATAGTTTTTTTTGAATTTAATTAATATTCTTTAATTGATATAATTTATTGGAATTCAAAAATTTTAATTAAATGCAAAAAATTATTTTTCTTGAGTAGTAAATTATTTTTCAGAAAATAATTATTACCTAATAAATAAATAATTTGTAATTAAACAAATTAGAATTACTCATTAGTAGCAAATACTGCTTAAAATAGTAGAAAAATAATTTATTAAATAAATATTTTTTTAAAAATCATTCTTAATCAATAAATTATTTATTAATAATGCAGTAATAAATTATTTATTGATTATTTATTAATTTTCTATTAATTATTTTTTACAATTAATGACTTCATTAGTTAATTGCTAATTACTTAATTAATTAATTATTATTTATTTTAATAAAAAAATAAAAGATAGATATACTTTTTATTGAATGAGTAATCATTCAAAAAAATTATTTACTAAGTAATAATATAATAATTATTAATTAATTATTACTAAATTTCTTACTTGATTGCATAATTATTAATAATTATGTTAATTAATTAATAATTATTTATTTTTAATAATTATATTAATTAATTAATAATTATTTATTTTTAATAATTAATAGCTATTTTCTTAATTAGTCAATTGCTAGTTAATAAATTATTAATTAGTTAATTAATTAATTAAATTTATTATTATTATTATTTAATTTATTAAATAAATATAATCTTTTTATTGAAGAAATAAATTGTTTAAAAAAAATAAGTAGTAATAAATAATTTGTTAATAAACAAATAATTGTAGATAAATTATTTATTTATTAAATTAATAATAATTTATTAAAATAGTAATTTTTTATTGAAGAATTAAGTTATTTTTTAAAAAATAATTTGCAATTATTACATTATTTGTTAAATAATAAAAATTGTAAATAATTTATTAAGAAATAAAACCCAGAAGATAAATTATGTATTAAATAAATATTTGTTTTTTATTTAGTAAATAATTTTTTTCTAGTAAATAATAAATACATTTATTAATTAATTGTTAATAAGTAAGTAATGGATTAATTATTTAATTTATTATTTAATAATAAATAAATTACTTGTTTTGATAATTTACTACTTTTCATTATTTAAATGCTTAATTATTAAATAATGTTAATAAGTAATGTAAAATATAAATAATAATAGAAAAAAATTGATATACTTGACGTTTAATTAATAAATATTAATAACAAAAATAATTAACTTAGAAATAATAAAAAATTTTACTCATTCATATTCAAATTTAAACTAAATTCCCGCCGCTCTAAGAGTGGTAAAACTCCGAACCAATCAGAAAGCTTCTCTTGGGGATGGTGAAATGTGCGCGCGCGCGCACGGCAGAAGCACTTTTGTGCTTAGTGACGAACGAGGAACCTGCTAATTTTTCCCTAATTGACTATAAATTACAAGGTAATTAACCATTATTCACTCATATTCTAATACAGAAAGTGTCAATTTACGCAAATTCAATAAAAATTATGTAAATTTTGCTTTTTTTCAGACATGGGACGAACAAGAAAAGGACTCTGACCGTCCGGCAGAATTGAGGTTAGGTTTGCTCAAGATTCTACGAGTTTGGGGAGTTTGGTAAGAAATTTTTGATAATTTTACTCGATTTTCATCATTGTCCTTGATTATTGGACGAGTTGGTCGATTATTATAGGAATTTAGTGTAATTAATTGATTAGTTATAGCGAAATATTGATTTGTTGGAAAATGTAAGTCAAGGTCATTGCTGATGGAGGGGGTAAGGAGGAGATTCCAAGAAATCAACGAACATTTCTGAACTTGTTTTTGGGGTTTTAGGTAATGTTTTTTGATAAATTTATTAATTATTAATTAGTTTAACATTGATTCATCGTTAATTTTGTATATTTCGTGTTTTTTCCGGTTAGTAATGCTTTGTTCAGGGTAATTTGTCTAAAGTACATAATATCCGTTAACGGTCATTTGCACTTTTCCTAGAAATGAAATTTTCTAAAATAGTGACCAATCAGGAAAGAGATAGTTGCGAAATAATAAAATTTGACAACTTTTGCGCGCTATTTACCCGTGTTTTGTTATGAAACAAAAGACTAGATCGTTTTTGACAATTTTTTCGATTTTTTTTTACTTTTTTCGTTTCAGTTAAAACTTGTCGCTTGTGACTTTTCTCGATAACTTTCGATTGTTAAAAATTAGTTTTCTTTATTATATATTTTCGGAAATAAAGTGAAAATATATTCTTCATCAAAGATGCGCATAAATATAATTAATTCGTTAATTAATTAGAGTTTAAAGGTGTTATGTGAACTATAAAAATTTATTTTAATGATATTGCGCATAAATAGAACGTGCTATGCAATAATTTGCAGTACATTTAACGTTTATTGCAGCAGAGAAAGTTGGAGGTTAGGATATTCGGAAAATTTTTATCTTCATTCCAAATGTGTTTCGTACGTTTCGTATATTATACCCTCCAGGTAAAGTACAATATATTAACCTCCTTTTCTCTATAGAATTTTTTTCCAATTAAAATCGAGATAAAGATTGAAAAAGTGTCGTTGAATTTTCTTCTAAAATGATTTTATTCATTTCATACATTTCAGAATGCCATTTAATATTTTTAACATAACCTGTTATTTTTCCGTATATATTTATCATATTTATATAAAGAGGGAGAGAATATTTCTATTTTGTTTACATTTTTTTTGTTCGAACATTTTTATTTGTGTAGAGAAACAACTTTTTTTTCAATGTGAATAAAAAGAAATTACCGTTTGAGAAATAGATAAAAATAATACAAATGCATGAAGGTTGCGAGTCTTTTATAAATATTTAATAATTGTATAATGATGTGGGTAGATGCGGTTAATTTCTTCTTGTCTTTCAAGACTCGACGATCACATGTGCACTATGTCTGGTTTTCTTATTTATAAATCAAATGATGTTCCTTTCAACAAAAGCATTTTTGTATATTTATAAGTATCAATCATAAATCGTTAACTTTTGCATTTTTTACGCTGCGTGAATTTAATTTTTTTTTTCAATGTAGAGTAAAATTATTTTCACACATTAATTTATAAACTTTTTAAGACAATTGCTCGTTAAATGTTTAAATTACTGCAATTAATAATTATTAATTGAATTTGAATTTACAGTAATTTAAACTGCGTGTTAATTTAGAATTTAGTTTTTTTCTCCTTGACAAGTTGATTAAAATGTTGTGAAAAATAAATATTGGATGGAATTATTAAAAGTGCCATTCGAAGGTTTATAAATTAGATTTTACTATTTTTAATTATCTTTATCCACTGGTGATCTTTGTTCAGGATGTTTGAATAAATTGTTACCGGTTACCAGCCTCATTGCAAATGGTAATAAAACCAGAAATAGTTTCTGTTTCTTAACGATTTATCACACTTGAGTACATCCTGTAGGAGAATAAACAAAAATTATAAAACTTTACATAATGAGAGCAAAGTTAAATTACTCTAATAGAAATAATTGTTTCTCATAAGTTTTTAGTTTTTTTTTTGCTTTTAAAAATTAATTTTTTCCGTTTACTTCCTTATTATTTTTAATATTTTCGAAATTCCTCTGCTATTTTGAAATTATCATATTATTATTATTTTCAGAGAGAAATTATAATAATTCAATTATTTTCATAAATAATACATTTTTTATGGGAATTCAATTATTTAAAAGAAATTGAATAAAATTCTTCATAAGAAATCAATTATTTTCATAAATAATCAAACTTATCGCAGAATTTCAATTATTTTTTGTACAACTTTAAATAAAATGATAAAAAATTGCAATTATTCTTAAATTTTTTTTTAAAATTCGTTGAAAGAATTCAATTATTGTTTCTTCGACATAATTAAATTACTTTCAGGAATATTAATAAAATTCATTGCAAAATTCAATTATTTTCATAAATAACAATATTCATCACATGAATTCAATTATTTCCAAAATTAATATAATTATTCGCAGAAATTCAATTATTTTCATAAATAACAATATTCATCACAAGAATTCAATTATTTTCAAAATTACAAAAATTCTTCGACAAAATTCAATTATTTTCAAAAAAACGAAAAAAAATTATCAACATTTCAATTATTTTTATAAATGAAGAGCAAAATTCTTCGACAAAATTAAATTATTTTCAAAAGTTTTTCGCAATTTAATAATTTTCAATATTTACTACCAAAATAATAAAATTCTTATTTGAAATTAAATTAATTTTGTGTGTAAATAATTGAATTCTCGTAGAATATTCTAATAAAAATTGATTCAAAAATTAATTTCAGTTAAAATTTTAGATTTTAAGATTTTTAATAAAATTTTTGAAAACAATTTCATTTGTTCAAGGAATTTATTTAAAATTGTATTAAAAATAATTGAAATCTAGTGAAGAATTTTATTATTTATGAAAACAGTTGAATTTTTGCATCAAATTTTATTTTATTTTTTAAAATAATTTTTGAAAATAATTTAATTATTACGTAGAATTTTAATAAAATTTTTTAATTACATTTTTCGAGTAATAATTTATTAAAAATTGTATTAAAAATAATTGAAATCCTGTGGAGAATTTTATTATTTATGAAAATAATTTAATTCTTGCAATGATTTTTATTACATTTTTCTTTAAATAATTCAATTGTTTAAAGAAAGTTTGTTAAAATAGTAAATTTTGAAAATATTTCAATTTTAGCGAAAATTTTGATTATTTGTGAAACATAACTGAATTCTTGCAAAAAATTTTATTATATTTTTTTAAATAATTGAATTTTATTGATAAATTTGATTAAAATTGTATTCAATTATTTAAAATAATTTGAATAAAATTCTTGACAAGAAATTAATTATTTTCATAAATAATAATAATTTCCTCCGGAATTCAATTATTTTCACAAATAAAATTATTCACAGACATTCAATTCTTTAAAAAAATTTTTAATAAAATTCGTTGCAAAAATTAAATAATTTTCATAAATAATAAAACTTATCGCAGAATTTAAATTATTTTTTGTACAATTTTAAATAAAATGATAAAAATTTGCATTTATTTAAAATTTTTTTTTTAAATTAGCCGAAAGAATTTAATTATTTGAAAAAATTTTTGATAAAATTCTTCAAAAAATTTAATTTTAAGAAATATTCAATTATTTATTTTTGTATTTAAATAATTGGATTCTCGAATAATTTACTAATAGAAATTGATTTGAAATTGAATTTTTGTTAAGATTTTAGATAATAATTGAATATTAAAAGCGTTATAGTGTGAATTTTTAGAAATAATTGAATTTTGAAAAGGGTTCAAATTAAAATCTTTGAAAATTTGAATTTATAGTTACAATATTCTGGTGATATAAAATAATGATTTTATCACTCTGTCATCTTAAATTTGTTATAAAACATGAAGGAATCGAAGACTCGGAGTAATCGATTTTTTTATGTTTTATAATATTATTCTCAAAAGTTATTGAATTTCAGGTTTGAATTTGAAAATCCTAATTTCTATAGAAAAATAATAGTTAATGATTAAACATTTATTTAAAAAAGAAATTATTGATGTTTTTGAATAATTTTACAATTAAAGAAATTCGTAACTAAGTGTAATACATTTTTTTTTGAAAATCTAATAATTTTTGGAGTGAATCAGAATAATCTTCAGGGTTAGGGAAAAAGTCAAAAATTTTTTCTGGAAATCAGGGAAAAGTCGGAAAAACAAAATTAAATTTTTATGGCAACCCTGATTTACTATTATATTTTTTTTACTTTTATTTTCAATTATTTTGATAATATTATTTTGGATTATGTGCAGTTTTAAAATAAAGCTCCTTTTTTAGCTCACAATCACGTGGTACATGATGATCTGCATAAAAAGTGATGATGTTCATTCAGAAAGAAACACATGAAAATATTGGATGAAATGTTCAGTGGGCTATACCTGCAGCTGCTGATGAGTTACCTCAACATCTGCGTGATTGGATTTCAGTTAGTGGTAGTGGTGAGTCTTTTATTTTCAATACTAGGTTTTTTTATAAAAAAAAAAAAAAAGAAAAATACAGGGTACATCATTCCTATATACATTTTAAAACCGTTTTCACGGTTCCGCCCCGACTGAAAAGCATTTCATTTGGAAAATTAGAAGACATTTTCTCAAAACAAGAAAAAGTCTTCTACATAAATATAAAAATGTATTTTTTAAGAGAGAGAAAATTATTTTATTCACTAAGTGCGTTGGTATAAAAATATATCACAATTAGTACGGGTTTGTTTCTTTTTTTTCATTTTGCATTAAACTAATTGAAAAATAATATTTAACAAACATGAATAAGTATAAGAAAGCAATAAATTTTTAAATTTAATACGGTAATTTGTTTTCTTTCGCTCGTTTGTATATCTTGTTTTGTATATTCAGTTCATTTAAATTAAAGAAAAAGTTTCTTACATGCTTAAAATTATAGTACGCGCACACACGATCCCGCATTCAGAACCAGCATGTTTTCATTTTTAACAAATTTTCTCGATGGCAGAAGGTCTTCATTGAAGGTCGGCTCCGACAGATGATACTAAAATTGAAACAAAAAACAGGATTCCTTATCTATAATTATAAAAACATAATTAGGAATTCATTAGTACTGTCAGGAAAGTTAATGTCATTGTTTTGCCACCATTGCTATTTTTGTTTTCGATGAGAATGACAATTTTTTTTTCTCTTTTTCTTTTCTCTCAAGATGAAAAACAAAATTTCGATTTTTATCTCTGCGTTAAGAAACCAAAAAAAAAAGTTGTTCTGCAAGTGGTTATAAAAATAGATTTGTTCTTTAGTTTTTAGTATTGGTTGTTGACAAAATTTTGTTGGTAAATAATTTGTCACCGGTTATAGGGATTTTTAAACGAAATCTTGATTTTTTTTTCTTTTTTCTGAAAATTGTATTTTGTTCTAATTCTTCGAAATTTCAATTATTTAAAAAGATTTCTAATTAAATTTAAATCTTTTTAAATTTAACTAAAAATTTTAATTATAACTCTTTCGAAATCGTAAAATTCGATAAATTTAAAATAAATACAAGGAAATATTTTTAATTTATGGAATTTTACGATTTCGAAAGAGTTACAATTAAAATGTTTAGTTAAATAATTTAAAAAAATTGTAATTTAATTACAAATATTTTTAAATAATTGGAATTTTGAAGAATTTTACAGAGATCAGAGTCCTTTTTCACCTAATTTTCATTTTTTTCTTTTTCTCCCTTTTTAATCCCCTTAAAATAATAAAATTTCCTAAAGTTATAAATGCATATTCTCCCTTTTTCCCTTTTTTTTTGGGAAATATTTACAAAAATTGCCATTTTCTTTGTGAGTTAGAAATATCTTTAAGTATGTTGAAGAATAAAATTTCTACTTTTTGCAAACTTTTGAAAAATTGTAGTTTTTTTAAACATAAAAATCTTCTTGTATGATTTTCTCAGAGAATAAATTTTATTAAGTTGGAAGAATATTTTAATAATATTTATTAAAATTTACTTCGGATATTATAAAATTTTCTCTGGAAATAACGATTTTTAGTTGCAAAATTTTACCTTTCCCACAGTTAATTTTTAAAATAAAAATTTTGTGAATTTTCTTCCAACGTAGTAGAATTTGTTATAAAAAATTATTATTTTCAGAGTAAAGTTTTTAATACTTCTAAAGTAAATTTTTCGAATTTTTATTCTAAAGAAATTTTCTTCGGAAATAATAAAAGTTATTCTGAAAATACAAATTTTTAATAGTAAATATAAATCAAACCCCGGTGTTAACAACAACAATAAATATATAAATTACATTTTTCTATAGTTAATTTTTCTAATTAAATTTTTTTTAATTTACTTTTAAAACAGTACAATTTGATATTAAAAATTATTAGTTTCAGAGTAAAAATTTTTACTACTTCTGAAGTAAATTTTTCTTATTTTTATAAAGAAATTGTCTTTAAAATTTAATAAAAATTATTCTGGAATAATAAAAGTTTTTAATAGCAAATTTTACTTTTTTCACAGTTAATTTTTAAATAAAAATTGTTTTAAATTTCTTCCAACGTAGTTCAATTTGTTATTAAAAATTATAATTGTCAAAGTAAATTTTACTATTTCTGATCTTATATTTTTCTAATTTTAATAATAGTAATTTTCTTCGGAAATAATAAAAAGTAATTTTGTAAATAAAAATTTTTAATAGTGAATTTTACTATTTTTTAGTTAATTTGAGTTTAAAATAAATTTTACTAATTTTCTATTGAAATTTACTTCGGATTTAGTAAAATTTGCGGAATTTAGAATTTTTAATAATAAATTCTTCTTTTTCCACAGTTAATTTTTATATACCTACAAATTTTTTAATTTTCTTTCAACGTAGTTCAAGTTGTTATTAAAAATTATTATTTGGAAAGTTCTATATTTTTCTAATTTTTATAAAGAAATTTTTTTCGGAAATAATAAAAGTAATTTTGTAAATAAAAATTTTTAGTAGCAAATTTTACTAAGTTTTGATGAAATTTACTTTTTTTCTAATAAATTTTGAAATAAAGATTAAAATAATTGCTGACTATTGAAAAAGATAAAAAAATTTCAATAATAGAAAAATAGGAACAAAAAAGTCTGATTTAAAAAAAGCTGCAATTAAGAAAAAAGTAAAATTTTCTTAAATTCTTAAGCTTGAAGAATTCAATTTTTAATATTTTAAACAATTAAAAGTTGCAATTTGAATAAAAATTACAAATGAAGGGTAACGAATTAAATTTTCAACATTTTAAACAATTAAAAGTTGCATTTGAATAAAAAATACAGTTTTTTTATCAATGGAAATATTTGTCAAAATATTTCCAAAAAATACAGAAAATTTTATCTTATTTTACCTAAATCGTTTCTTATTGACAGAAAACATTTGTATTCAAATGCCAACTTTAAATTGCTTTAAGTGTTGGTGTTGAAAATTGAATTCTTTACGCTTCTACAAAAATTGCATTTATTGATTTGCTTTTCTTCATTTAAATTTCGAAATAATAGAATTGAATTAACTTTTCTTCGGATTCTTTGTTGGATTCTTCCACAAAATTCTGAAATAATTAGGTCTTTTAAAAACATTAATTCCATTTTTATAAGGTAATTAAATTTTTCTTTCAACTCTGAATTTGGAATATTAGGGAATATTTTTAGAAGAAAAATTGAAAACAGATTTTTTAGCACACACGTGTTCGTTAAAGTGTGTCATATTAGGTAGAGAAAAATTCAATGATTTTTGATCTATATAAGACAAGCAAAATTTTAGACAGTTTTATGAATCTCGACACATTCTTAATAAGTTCCAGATTTGTTATAAATAGGGGAGAATTTTCAGATTCTTCAAAATAAAAAAAAAAAAAAAAAAGAAGGCTGTAGTGTTGACAGAAAAATTGTTCAGGAAGGAAAAAAAATTCTAATTTCTTACATTTGCTTTTCTAGTTCAAGGTTATTGTTTATTATGAATATATTTTAATATAAATATCATTGGCTGTGTTGGAATCATCAGGGAGTACAAAGTTGGTGACCAAGTCCTTGTGTATCGCACCTGCTTCTCATCCCGCAAAACATTTTACTTCCTTGGATGTCGCCCTATAGTTAGAACAGGTTTAAGGTTCATTCGGAGCTCTAACGTGACAAATGTGTCTTCTCATACGCCTCTCTTGCCCTCTCACTCTCTCATCTCATTGCCTCTCTGAATTGGATGCAAAAGAAAAACATCTTCTTTAGTCTCCTTCTCTTTTTTTCTCTCTCACTCACTCTCTCTCTCTCTCCCTCCTCTTTCCTGCATATGCACGCCATAATTATTTACGACAGTATAAAGTAAAATAATAATGGAAGAGTAACATAAAATGTTTTACGTGAAATATTTTATTAGATACTATTTTATAGTGAAGTGTGTAAGGGATTTTTTTTATTTTTAATTTACAAAAGTTTTTTTTCATTTGTAAGCTTCACTTGTTTGCTTTATTTGCCGTTAAGGTATGTAGGAATTCTTCCTCTACTATGAATGGGTGGTTCTTTTTATAAATAATCGCCTTTGATTTTGAAAAATTTTGTCTTGCAAACATTGTAAAAAGTATTTTCTTATTTTAGGATTGCCAGCGATCAGGAAAAGTCGGAAAAAATAAAATTCGCCACACGAAAAAAAGAAATAAAGTAACTTTTATTTATTGACAATATAAACGGGCGACAATATAAACTTTTACTACTTTCATAATAAAACTTAAATTTTCTGGAGTTTCTGTCCATTTCTGTCAATTCTTACTATTTTCGAAGTAAAATTTACTACGGTCGAAGGAAATTTACTATTTGCAAAGTAAATTTTGGTAAGATTTGTAAAATTTACTTCGGACATAGTAAAATTTACTCTGGAGATAGTAAAAATTGTATGGCGGAAATGCGAAGAAATTCCAAACAGTTTAGGTTTTACTTTGTAAATAGTAAAAGTTACTTTATATTTTTTTCGTACAGGGAAAAGTCGGAGAATTTTATAAAAAAGTATTGAAAAATACTAAATTTACAAAAATCATAAGAAAAATTCTTAATTTAGTTGTTTAGGAAACTTTTTTAAATATTAAAAAAATTTATTTTTTCTAGAATTTTTGTTTTTGTTTGCCGCACATAAACTTTGAAATTGACATAAATTTTAATACAAAACATTAACTTTTTGTTTATTTCTGACAATTATGAATTTTAAAAGAGTTACGTTTATAATTTTTATAAATAATTGAATTTCAAGAGGTTTCAAACTGAAATTTAGGAAAATTTGAACTTTAGATAATTTAAATTAAAAATTCAGAAGAAATTAGTTTTTTGAGAAATTGTTACTTACATTTTTTTGAAATTAGGCGAGTTTTTCAATAATATGACATATTTAATTGGAAAATTTTCTAATAATCGAATTTTCGTAAAATTAAATTGAAAACACGTGGAATTTAGAATTTGTTTTACCTATTTGAAT